TTAATTCTTTGACATCTGAGAGTTGCCTTTAGCCCAGTATATGGCCAATTTTTGTAAATGTTCATGTGTACTCGAAAAGCATGTGTATTCCACAGTTGTTGGGTGCAGTGTTCTTTATATGTTCATTAAGTTCATTAATTGTGTTGTTCTAATTTTCTACAACTTTCCTGATCTTATTTGCTTATTCTATTAGTTACAGAGAGATCTTTGTTAATTCTCCCACTATGATTGTGGATACTTCTGTTTCTCATTGTACTTCTGTCAGCTTTTGCTTTATATGAAGTCATGATATTAACTGCATATGAATTTAAAATTGTTATATCTTATTTTTGTTTTAGAGTCTACTTCATGTAATATTAACCCATCTACATCAGTTTTTGTTTTGTTCGTATTTACATTGTACATTTATTCCTGTCCTTCCTTTCAAACTTTCTGTAGCCTTATGTTTTAGATCTCTTACAAAATATCATAAAGTTTCTTTTTATCCTACCTTACAATCTGTCTTTTACCTATTTATATTTAATGAAATTACTGATATATTTACCATCATAATATATTCTATTTGTCCTACTGTTATATGTTCTTCTCTACTTTCTTGTCTTCTGCTAAATTATTTTTTATCATTCAGTCTTTTGGAAAACTTAAAAGTTATATGCATAAAACAACAACTACTTTCTTATAGGTTATCCTAGAGATTACAACATGCTTTTCTTACTTATCAAAGTATAATGTTAACAGACGCTTTTATCCTCTTCCCAGATAATATATGGCCCTGAACTCCATTTATTCCACTGCCAACTATTACTTTCATAACTCTGTATTTTAAATCCAATAAAACATTATTATTATTGTTTAATAAATTCTACGTTTGATTTGCCAACATGTTTTCTACTATTTTTACTCTTAACTTCTTTCTGAATCTCCAAGCTTCCATCTGGCATTTTCTTTCTATTTCAATAATATCCTTTCAAATGTCATTTAGTGTGGGTCTCCTGGTAATTAATTCTTTTAGTAAAGTTTTTAAAAAGAGGAAGTGTCTGAAAATCCACTTTCACCTTTATTCTTCAAGGGTATTTTTTCTGAGTATAGAATTCTACGTCAGCAGTTATTTCCTTTCAGTACTTTGAATATGTTATTCCACTGTCTCCTGGCTTCCATGGTTTCCAAAAAGAATCTATTGTCAGTTTAATTGTGCTTTTTTGAAGGTAATCTCTCTCTCTTTTTTTTTCTTCTGGCTTCTTTAAGATTTTTTTCTTTGTCTTTGATTTTAAACACTTTTATTATGATGGGCTTAGATGTTGTTGTCTTTGTATTATGCTGCCTTGGGTTTACAGGGCTTCTCCAATTTGTTGCTTAATATCTTATTAATTTGGAAAATTCCCATCTACTATCTCTTCAAATATTGCTTCTACCCCATTCTCTCTCTCCTCTTCTCTGGGACGCAAACACATATGCTAGGCCTATTCAATATATGCTCTATGTCCTTTATACTTTTTTTTTTTTGTGAGCGTATTTTCCTTTTTTCTCTTCATGCTTCATTCTAGACAGTTTCTTCTGGTCTATTTTCCAGTTCACTTATTCTCACTTTAGCTTTATTGACTCTGTTGTTAAATTCATTTGTTGCATTCCTAATTTATTTTTCAGTTCTAGAACTTTCTTTTTGTTGCTTTATCAAATCTGCTACATCTCCTTTTATAGTCCACAGTTCTCTGCCAAAATTGTCAATCTAAACTTTTATGCCCTTGATCATAGTAAGCATAGTTTTTGTTTGTTTGTTTTTTGCAATTTTTTTATAGCATAGTTATTTTAAAGTTTGGCTCGATAATGTCAATGTCTAGAGAACCTGGGGAGGGGGTCTGTTTTTATTTTTTGCTGTTTCTGCTGGTTCTCATTCATGTGTTACGTCTCCTCACATGCCTAATTATTTTTTGTTGTGAGCAAGATATTATATTTCAAAGACCATTTGTAGAAATAATTTAAGATCCTATATGATGTTATCTTAAGTCTAGAGAAGTTTGTTTTTTCCAGGTACCTGTAACAATCCTGTTTCAATTTCAGGGTCTGAAATAATTTGAAAGTAGGTTGTAGTCCCTTCAGGGCTGTTCTACTTCCAGCTTACCTTTACTCTTACACAGATGCAAACTTTGGGAGTCCCAAACCAATCAGCAGAAGCTTACTAGCACTCAAATTATCCTTGGCAAGCCACGAACTCCAACTATTTTAGATTAGCCATACAAGGCTATCAAGAGGGCTGCTA